ACCACCTAAAGGCCAAATTCAGGGCAAACTCTTATTGTGTTTTTCTTAGTATTGTTACTTATTTTATGGCCTGTAGTTGATTTTAATCCTATGTTTGCTGCCAAGAGCTGCAATTGCGAAATGGGCAGCCATATAAATCAGTACAATCAATCAGTTAATCCCTGGTTTAAAAAAAAAAAAAAAGAGGATATGGACTTTTCAGCCCGATTTATTCCAGGTAGAACTCCCAGCAGCTGCAGCCAGCAGGATCAGTGGTGGAGAATGCTGGGAGATGCAGTTCAACAACACCTGGACAGCCCCAGATTTCCAGTGCTGTTGATCAGTAGCTCAGGAAGACATCTTTCCAGTCATGTCACTCAGAATTTTTTTAACTTGATCCACCTCCACGCAAACCATGCGCTCCTTTACGGTGTCCTTGGCCACTGGGTTTAGGACTTTTTTTCAATGTTGTTTTCAGGTGTCTGGACTCTTGGCAGAAGTGGGGTTGTGTTCTTCCAATGCAAAGGCAACAACATTGGCTGCTTGCAAGAAGGATGGGTCAGAGAGAGAGAGTGACACACCTCCACTAGGTAAGCTGTTGCTTTGATCCTGGTCATTTGGGCCTCAAGTGGGAACTCTGGATTCATTTGTTCGATGATCCATCACTTTGTTTTCTTGGCTGTCCACAATATTCTCAGGAGTCTTCTCCAACACCAAAGTTCAAAAGTGCCAATACTCTTCCTATCCTGCTTCTTCAAAGTCCAACTTTCATGTCTATAGTGTGTCACAGGGAATACCCTGGCTTGCACGATTCTGATCTTTGTAGGTATAGACACATCACGGATTTGAACATCTCTTCCAAGGTCTTCATGGCTGCTCTACCAAGTGCTAGTCTGTGGCGTACTTCTTGACTGCTTGTTCCTTTACTGTTGATGGTCAGTCCTAAGAGGCAGAAGCTGTCCACCACTTCAATACCTTCATTGTCAATTCTAAGGTTGGTTTTTTACCTGTCGTCATTAGTTTAGTCTTCTTTACATTTAATTTTAGACCCATTTTTAACTCTGCTCCTTGACTTTTACTAATAGAGTTTGCAGATCCTTTGCATTTTCAGCTGTCAAGGTAGTGTCAGCGGCATAGCACGGGTTATTGATTTTTTTCCTCCAATTTTGAAATCACATTCATCTTTTTCCAATCCACTTCCCTTAATATATATTCAGCATGTAGGTTGAATAAGTGGGTGGGCCTTAAACCTGGATAATTTTCATGTTAAAGGATCATCCGTGAAGTCTAATTGATATTATTGGGTCATTAACTGCATTGTATCTGTCTTTCTATACCCTTTCTGACTATGAAAACAGCAGCATTCCTTCTTTGTTTTTAATGTTCTGAGAGGTCATATTGTTATCTTCTGAGTGAAAGTGTCCAATTCCAGTCTACAGCTGGTCCTCGCTTATTGGCCACAATTGGGACCAGCAACTCCATCGCTAACCGGCAGAGTCATAAAGCGTGACATCACATGACTGCACCAACTCATGACATCTGTTCCATCAGTTCTGGTGGCGGTCGTTAAGCAAATCCCTGCGGGTCGTTAAGTCCAGTGTCATGTGACTATGACTTGCAACTTGCGACTTCCTGCCGGCTTCCTCATTGATTTTGCTTATCAGAAACTGGCTGGGAAGGTTGCAAGTGGCGATCACGTGACCACGGGATGCTGCAACCGTTGTAAATCCGCGCCAGTTGCCAAGCGGCCCAAATTGCAATCACGTGATCATGGGGACACTGCGACAGTTGCAAGTTCGTGGACCCATCGTAAGTCTCCTTTTTCAGTCATAACTTTGAGTGGTCACTGAATGAGCGGTCAGTAAGTGAGGACCCACCGTATCTCAATTGCTGATGCCTAATGTGTCATTGTGTAGTTGATTCATTCCATCTTTCAGTGTTGAG